TACTGCTGGAATCTCATTTAATCATGATATCAAGAAAGACAGAGAACTATTACTAGTTATATCATTATAATACTTAACACATAATATTACAATTTCTTCAAAATTAACAGCTAATTGTAGCTCGTTGTCTGTGGTCCAAGAGGTCTGTACTGTATATTAAGAGAGTAGATGTTACAAATCAAATCTGATATTAAGCATCTGTTCTTCAAATAGCAGACATTTACTTACAGTTTTCAATTCTCCTTTTGTTTCCTTGAAGACGCCTGCCAGCCTCCTCCACACCCTTGACTGTGGAATACGTATATAAGTTAAGCTAGTGAGTGAGGCTTTAACCAAGGGTACAATATCGGTTTGTGGTTCAAGACACATGCATCTAGTATCATTATTAAGAAGTAACAAGTTACTCATTGCACAAAATCAGAGTTGGAAGATTGTAAATGTAATGGAGATCATTTACAGAGCAACCCGTAGTGGAACATTTGACATTTAATCTAAGTGTCTGGTTGCTATTTTCTGATACTATTCAATTAAAAATGGTTCTGCAATTTATAGGATTGCTCATTGTTGAGGACTGATTGGTGCTCTGATTAGTCTTATGGGCAATCTGATTGCCATGTTCTTTAATAACACCAATAACACTAATGATGCAGAACATCTCAGTTGTAAAAACCAAGCCATTAACAAACATCAGCTCATTGGTTAATAAAGATTAGACTACAGTATGCACATTACTTCTTTAACCAGAGGTTTAGGAAGTGCAGTCCACAATAGGATACATTCCCTCTATAACGGATTGTTATGGGACCAGAGACTACTACGTTCTGGCATTTTCTTTAAGCAGTTTTACACATCAACTTAAATGTCCTTTTTAATAGCTCAGATTGTTGGGGTCATTAGCCTCCAGTGTGGACAACCAAGGTGGAGATTTTACTGCTGGAAAATGAGCCTAGTTTAGCTTCAAAGTTAGAGACCCAGGACCTGGGAAAACATTTAACTGAAACCACTGATTTATAATGGTTAAGGATCGTAACATTCCTAACTACCAAGTCACCAATGGTGAGCGCATTATCCAAATTAACAGGCATGCTGTTTTTGATTTAAACTGGTGACTAGTGTGCAGGAGGTCTTCTCATTGAGCTTTTATATCCGAACGTGATACCTAAAGACGTGCTAATGTGAGCCCTGTCCTCCAGCCTTACAATAACTAAACATTTCTTTAGGTTTTTTTTTTTTTTGCCAAAGTGACATATAATTGAGAAAGTAGGGTTAGCCAATCCCTGGAGCAGCTGGACTCGCTCATGATCCCAACAGTGAAATTACTCCTAACCCATAGAGCCACACACCTGCCTAATATTTGTGATATTTAAAGTTATCCTTAGAAATATAACCGCTTATTTCACATTAGTCTTTAGCCATTACGTTGCTTTCCGAAGTGGCAAAAAAGGGAGGAAAGCGTGGGGTCAAACAGCAGGGGTCAGCCAGCATGCAACAACCCCGGAGCAGTGGGAACTAACGGCCATTCTCAATGGTGATATGAATTACTCTGTCAGCTATTGGATTTGACCCCTTGACCTTTCAGACACTGGCACACAGCCATAACCCATCGAACTCAATACCACCTAGATACAGACACTACAAATGTGTTTTAGACTCACCTGTCCAGATAACACTATTCCACATATCAACAATATCCTCCAGATGGTCGTTTGTAAACTTAAGATGAGCAATTGTGTTTTTTTTTTTTGTTTTTTTTTTACTTTGACTTATGGTTGTCCCATAAATGCCATTTAGCTTGTTATACTGTTATACAGCAACAACATGCAAAAGCCAGCAAAAGATTTCATGAGGTCTTGGGGTTAACTGTTGAATAATGTTTCAAGATGCTCACTGTGGTCTTAAATTTTTGCCATGATTGTACTGAGAAATCCTGAAGTATTTTGCAGTTATTTTATAATGCAGTCAGATAACTTTACATGAGAGTCCTCTGAGATGTCTTAATCATATGAAACTAGTTTACCTTTAGGTAAATTTTGGAACAGACTGATATTTGACTCACTGACTGGTTACCTTGACAACCAAAGAGACAAATGTTTAACACTTACCTGATTGACACAGATAAGGAATCTTGTGCTTCACATATTTTTTGCACAGACAATGATTCTTATTGGCAATTCTCCATACAATTATGCATGCTTATTCCTGTAACCAACACGGTACAGCGCATGGCACTTCAAACCTCCTAGGATTACAGAACTGCAATGTTAGAAAATCCAAAAAGCATAGGATAGTGAAATAATTATGATTGATATTAGGTTCAAAAACTCTAATCATACACATCCATCTTCATCCACAATGAATATCTAGGAGTTTAGCTTTTAGATTTCTAAATCAAGTTTTATGCGGGGAACATGAAATTAAAAAACAAACAAACATAGAACTGGCAAAAAACAGGCCACAAGGATTCTATAGCAGATAGTTATCAGTGCTGCTACATGATCATAGAATATTGTTCATCCTTTGTCCAAATCATTATAAAGAAAAACGAAATGTGCAATAATTGTCAGCTGCTGGTCATATTTTCGCAATCGCATTTAATTATGGACTCTCGTAAACAAAGTGTCGTTTGTAATATGTTTGTAGTACAAACGTGCAATTCACTCAGGAGCCATGAATGTTTAAACAGAGTGGATACAGTGTTGTTAGAAAGTAATAAAAAAGAACACCTGCAAATAATTGCATGCTGCGCATTGCATGTCGATGGAAAAATGGACTCTGACAGCCCAGTTTTGTTTTCACTCTAGCTACCATCTTTACAGCTGTCAGGATTTGTGAATGTGCTCCTTGCCTTTTTTATTGCCTGTCCGGAATAAGAGATGCCAATGTTCTCTTGTATTTAATGTAAAATGTGCCTCATCTCTTGGGGATGATCTTAAATTTGGTCATCATTCAGTGCTACAATAAAGAGGGGAATCGGAAAGAACGAAAAAGAAAAAATGCAAGATCATTAACCTCTTCGATCTGTTTTTTAAGCTTTGGCAGGGGTCTTAACCCTTTTCATTGTTTTTTTTAAACACACTACATCAAAAATGATTCGTTAATTCAGGATAATTTTGTGTTTCAATAGCAAATAGCTTCCTGTGATAGATCTGTGTCCTGTGCTGCTTGGGTTTACACCATACCCCATATGAAACATTCCAAAGTCAGGAAAAATACTTATTTTGTAATACTTATAAACTGATATTATACTTATATGAATCATTATATGATACAATCATAGCCAAACATTGTAATAGTAAGCCATTTAGAATTAACTACTATTTACAGCTCAATATTTTACTAATTTAATGCAGAAATTCAGGTTAGAAATAGCACTGAATAGTTCAGGATAAGGAAACCTTCAACTTCAGAGACAACATGTTACATATGAAATTTTAAATTATACATAAACCATCAATATATGATTTTTCTCCATATGGAAAAATGGAAGAAAACTCGTTGTTTGGATGGTAGAAGATATGCGTTTAATTCAGTTTCTGTAAACATCAGGCATACTTCCTCAAAGGCATTAAATATTACGTATATATAATGATGGAAGTCATTTATTTAAAGAATGTGATGAAATTCGGCTCTTTGGATGTGGCTTATTTATTTATCAATCACCACATGCACAAAACACAGACACCTCTACCAATGATCATGAATTCACCATAATTATATGCTCCGACATGTATTTGTTGTTCAGTGATCAAAATTGGCAGGCTGTCGAAAACCATACGTGCATGCAGATAGTGTTTAAATGCTCTAAGAGATATTGGAACAGCCCCGAAATGCAAACGACCAGGGACTCTCACGCCTGGTCTTAGGGCCCTTGCGGGGACGCTGGTCTTTTTTTCCAGCTGAGCTCTGTAATTAATTATGCTTCACTGAGCTGAATCCTAAATGTGATTCTGGCAATTGAAACGTGTCTTCATTTCAATAGTTTGCTGCACGTTTGTTATGCAAAAATAAAAATAAAGTTGCGTTACCATCGTACCATTTATTGTAAGATTCAAAAATGCAGCTTTGGCTGAATATTAATTCTTTTACTTTTATCGGGATAATTATCCCTTAAAATATTTTTCAAAGGCCTTTCAATCGCCTTTAATAGATGCAGCATCTGTTACCACAGCATGGTGACGGTGAAATTTTCGCTTTCTCATACTTCCACACTGCACACTGGATGCCAGTTCCGGCCCGAGCCCGTGGAGTTTGCCGAACCCATCAGTGATTCTGTGACTTTCCACCCACAGCCCGGATACATGCAGATCAGGTGAATTCCTCTAAAACGGCACCGGCGGCTGCAGACTGCCATACTCCCCAAGGTATCCTCGGTCCTATACTCAATCCCTATGCTTTCCAGCATAAGCCCTAAATCACTGCAGCCGTGATTGGAACAGCTACTGACGACAGATTGAAGAAAAAAAAAAACATAAGTGAGGTGAACAGTCCAAGGAATAAGAGTGAAAAAAAAAAAACAACACATATCTTCTTAAATTAAGACCAAAGGACCCCTGTTTTGTTGTCACGCCTGTGTAATTAATGAGATTTACAGTCTGTGAAGTCTGTGAAACATATTTACATAAAAAAATCTTGAAAGTGTTACCATTACTTGTTTTGGTTCATTTTAACGATACTTGAATAATCTTCTGGTGTGTTTAATTGTTCCAGAGCCATCTAAGTAATTATATCTTAGAATTTAATAATTGTGTTAATTGCACTTGGAACTGAATCATTATTTTAAAGGCCGAGTTAAGAAATTTAATTTCATTCGGCGATATGGATCAAAACGGATCCCTCCCAAACTTTCCATTGATGTCAAAATCACAACTCAATCAACAGCTTATTCACATCCAAATTAAAGTCCAACTGGAACCAAGCTCTGTATGCACATGGCTACTAAAAGTCCGGGGCTGAGAAGCGCCAATGTGTGCAACTGCTACGCATCAGACGACAAGTGAAAGTATGAAGAGTCACAAACAGTTTAATACCGGAGACCCGTTTCTTTGAGAATCACTGCACAAGCCAGTAATCACAAACAATGGCAGCTTTACAAGATGAGAATTGCAATATAAAAAAAGAATAACAATAATAAAAAGTTAACAAAACAAGCTTATTCCTTTAGCGTTTGTTGAGAGGGGCATTACATTTCACATCTTTTGTAAACATCACATTGTACAAATGAAACAATGACTTGCCAAACGATATTGTTCACAAATATACCATGAATTAGCTATTTACTTGTGCTGTGTGTGATTCTGACAAGCATCATGACAATTTATAAATGAATGAGTTTATACATTTATTTGTTCTTAGTTGATATTCTTGACAAATACATTTAAATTTCAAAAAGAATTTGGGAAGCTGCATGTAGTATGTGTATTTATGCATGCATGAGTATATGCCGGCATATGCATAAGGAGAATACACCTATAAGCATTTGTTGGCAGCAATATAGATACAGGGTATGAGTTATTGACCTAGATCTGACTATATCTGATTTTTTTTATTTTTTATTTTTTGCTTTTTAAAGAATTTTGTAATCTGAGAAGCCAAGATGAATATGTAGAAATCATTCATTCATATCATAACTACAAACATCGATGTATTAATAACTGCATATTTGTCATTAATCTCTTAATCCTGAAAATGATTCATTTATGTCTCTCTTCCTTGGACGCAGTATTATCCTTCCAAAAAATTACATGACGGACGCCCCAAGAGAACCACCATAAAAAGCAAAACATGGGTATTTTACATTAAAAAAGTACCTTAAGTCATAAACCATCCCTAATTTAGAAAATGATGTCGATTACACCTGATTATCGGCTAAGCAACTGTAATCGTGACAGATTTTAATGGCTAATGGAACCAACTGATGGAAAAACGTCAGACAACGATGTGAGAAATGCTACAGGGAAAATGGCTGACATTAGCGGCTACTTATGGAACAGAATTGGCCTGACCATACCAGCAAGAATCTTTGGCACCTGCACGGAGATGATCTCAGATATCATTTCTGGAAAAGTGACCTTTGATGGGAGCGACTGAGCCTGCACAAAGAGGTCAAACGTGAACTGCTGGAGCTTCCTCACAATCTGTATGTACAAAGAAAGAACGGGCTGAAATTAATATGAACATTCATGACAGTTTAGCAAATCCTCATCATCCAAGGTGACTCCGTTGTTTATATGCTTCAGTGCCGATTCAAGACAGGCAGTTGCCAGACTACGAAAAAGATCCATTACCTAAGTCTGTCTTAAAGTCAAAGGTGTATTTATTGAATAATAATTCAATATATAATGATAATACAATAATAATAAAAGTAACTACATACAGTTTTCACAAGCATCACCAAGTAGTGCATGCATTCATTATTACAAACCACTGTATTAAACCCAAATTTTAAAATAATAGGTTTTACGGCAGTCTGTTCCTAAGTATGGGTTGTCCGTAAGTCAGACATTCTTAACCTGGGGACAGACTGTAATCTGCTTATTGTTTTACTGTTGCAGCATCTTAAGGGTTAAATAAGATGTATCCAAGCCTGGAACTTGATTGGAAAATTGTTTGGTAAAAAAAAAAAAAAAAAAATGATACTGGCAGCTGTGGTGGCCAGATTTTTACCGGTTGAAGGGAATCCATGAGTCTGGTAAGCTGGAGAAATCTCTCAGAGCAGTTGACCTTGTTCCTGTAGCTTACGAGGCGATCCAGCTCATTAATGTACGTCATCCGCAGTTCGTCAAAATACTTCTGACTTTTGAGACCCTCCACTGGAACTGTAGAGGGTTATTGAAATGCTCAGCCTTCCTATATACCCAGTAAATGTACTCCTGTAAGTTAAGGGTGAGACTACGGCCTCTGTACTCACTGATGCTGAAGAGTAGGAGGGCCTTCATACAGAGGTACTCTTCCTGAGTGACCTGAAGCAGGTCAAATTCCTGGGCGAGGTGCTTCATCCGGACACAGTGCTCATACATGCTGGAGACGTGCATTCGCCGGCTGGACAGAGGGAGAGGGATGAGGGCTGCTTAGACGAAAGCTCAGAGTAGAGGAAGACAACGGGAGAGGGTCGGACGCAGGGTCACCTGCCTCTGATACCGCACTGAAAAGGGCGATGTGTTCACTGCTGCTCCCGTCTGCTTATGAATGTACTGTAAATTTTCTCATAACATTCCACAATAAACTGAATAACTCTGCTGAATGTGACTCATTACCGCAATGAATGTGACTAAATGCAATTAAACAGTGACTAGAGAATTTATGTACATATTAGAAATAATCTAGAAGTAAATAAATATAATATATGATATAATTAATTTACTTACATATATAATACTTTTTAAACTTAAAATTATAGCATAATATATCATGAATTGTTTGCTTTGGTTAATTTTAAGGCTGATCTCAGTATACTCTACCCTCTCCTCCTGGTACCAATCATTGCTTTATACAGAGACAAGACAGCCATTGCCCCTTACAATGCATTACAACGAAAAAAAAAATAATAAAAAATTCACATCTGTTGACCTAAATTAAACAGAATAGACTGGTCTAGAGTGAATTAATTTGAAATATGCAGTGTTGAAATTGCTGGCTTGGTACTCTGGGAAACTCATCACAGAATATCAGTCCAGTGCAAGGATGACACTACAAAGTAAAACTGCACAATAATAAACAATGTTGTACTTAAAGTATTTAACTTCGATAACGTGACTTGATTGTTCCCGTGACGGGGGAACTCTCTAAGGGGCTTGAAACAGAAACAAGGATTACCTTGAAAGCTTTTGAAATATAAATAAATAAATAAATAAAAGCACTAATAAAAATAAATACAAGAAGTGTTGGCAGGAAAAGCTTCAGCTGGAAGATTCCTAGTTTATGGAACCATCTGCCCCATCGTAAGGGACGCCCCCTCGTCACAGTTTTAAGATCTAGACTGAGTGCCTATTATTTCAGTCTAGGATACTCTAAGCTATTTATAACCCAGCTTAACTGAAATACTGCTGCAGGTGCTGCTGTATGTGGTAGATAGCGGGTCTATATACGGCTGCTATAGTCAGTATCAGTGCTGACTTACTACATTTCCGTCCAGTGCCCTGTGATTGGGTACCGTTTCCATCCAGGGCACACGCCAGTGAGCGTCAGCTGAGAGGCCTCCAGGCTGATGTCGGACACATGCAGTGACATAATAGGCCGACCTGCCAACCATCATTGGCTGTCCTGACAATGAGTTGAGCAAAACAGCTCCTCTCCCCACAAAACTTTAGTTCTAAAGACACCTACATGCTTATTCTGGCTCAGTTAGAACAACCAGTGGGAGCTGTACAATAAGGCGGACTGGAAATGTGGTGGACTGGAACTTTTAAAGCTTCTGTTTTCCCCAAAAATATTCTTGACAGATTTTTACTGCTTTACCTTTAACTTTAACATTTGCTATGTTTATGTATAATTCACTTTTCACTGGATTCCTCTCAAGCACGTTGGAAGTGAACTGAAATCGGCGGAGTGAATATACTTACTCATTAAATACAAGGTCAGGTGCAAAGTACAGCATACGGGCATTCACGTTCTTGTAAGACCTCCAGCCCAGGGCAAACACCATTACCCCCATCCAGGAGTGCTGAATGACAGTCATTTGATCGTCCACATGCAAATTTGGGAAACCTGTAAAATCGCACATTTTACATTTACATATTTAACGGACGCTTTTGTCCAAAGTGATGTACAAGTCAGACAAATAGCAAATTGGAAACATTCATGCTGGAAAGGAGCGAACTAGGCATGCATGCAGCTAGAGCGTCCAGTGAATTCCCAGATACAAGTGTGAGCAGTACTGGAGCAGGAGTTATACAACAACTACAGTACACTAATAATTACTACAGTGGCTTGAAAATGGCTTTAAAATAGTTACTGTACATATAAATGGTCCAAGGGTGTTCTCAAACCCATGATAAAATCCTTTTGCTAGAAGACAAAGAAATCTAAATGCAATTCCCAATTTAGAAAGTACTACAAAATGTTTATGATCGAAAAATCGTTAGTGCCTGTTTTTAACACAATGAAACACAAATTCCCACCACAAAAAGCAGTTCACATGAAATTACAGCCGTGTGCCATAGCTGCGGGCGAGTTTTAATCGACAGATGCCACAGCCTGCTGCCTTCATTTAAGTTCTAATCCGAGCTGAAAGATGAGTCTGGAAAGTGCAGACATTAATTTTAAAAACCCCCTCCTAATCTTAGTTTTTCCACTTGGAGAGGGACAATAGAGTGCTGAAAAGAACACAATATTCAGCGAATGAAAATAAATGAATCGCTGGTGGGACTGAAAAAACAGACCTATGTTTTCAATCATCAAGACATCAGTGACCAGCAGAGACCAGTTTCCGTAACATTAAAATCGATACTTATTTAGCACATCTTTTCACTCGGTTTCAATACCTATTTGCAAAATCCTTCCCACCTGATAAGGCTTTTTGTTTTATGTCCATGTCTAGATAGATGCCTCGTGTTTATACGTCTTGCATATTTATATTCTACTTGTTACTTGTTTTTGCACTATGACCAATGAGGGACGATATTTCATCTTGGTGAATGACGCATGCGTCATAGAGCTCAGTCGACAATAAAGTTACTTTGACTTTGACGTAGCTGTAAAAGCTAGCTACCTAAGTGCTAATGAAATAGCAGCATCATCGAAACTGTGCTCTCATGGTGAATTATGAAGAAAAACAAGCTCAAAGCTTTTTGTCAATCTCGGAGAAGATATGAGGTTACAGGCAGTATTTTAGATCAGTGAATAGCTGGTGATTAAAAACTGCACTGAGGAACAGCCATAGGGCTACCTTATTGCAACTGCAATTGCAAGCACATGAAGTACTGTTACCAGATATTTTTAATCCTGCATTATACTGGTAATGGTCTTTGGATATGCCCCATTTAAGTTCTCCAACTGTTCATGTAGGTAGGCTAACTGGAGGTGTGAATGAAAGGGCAGAATGAAAAATGATTGGTTCAGAGAGATAACCAATCAGATTGTAGAGGAGGTGGTTCCAAGGAACTAGAAGAGGTGGGACCAACCAATCAGATGTCTTGGTTCTACCTCCACTAGTTGCTTGGTAAGTAAAACTCCCATGAGCCACATTTTTGCTCCCTCCCAGCTCCCGGAGCAAAAACGTAGATCGTCTGCTGGTCCCCGAGGACCGGGCTGGGAAACACTGCTATAGTGTATTAGCCATCCTACCTGGCATCCCCTTGACCCATTTAACAACTTTGACAAGCTGTCTCTCCCCCAGTTCATTGAGGCTGGAAAGGAGAGAGGCCGCAGAGTCCGGCTGGCCATGATCGTGTCCGGCGTTCACCACGCCTGGCTCGATGTTCTGAAGGATGTTAATAAACATCTGCTCGGAGTGGAAGTTGAGGGCAGACTTGGGAGAGACATAGGGAACGGCATCAGCCAAGCCCTGACTTTGAGGATCATCTGGAGATGTCAGCTGCCCAATCTTCTTCAGCTTGCGAGCTTCGATCCATTTAAAGTACGCAGAGCCACCATAATGAAAGAGAACAAATGTAACTAAGACATAGGAATAGTACAAATCTATAAAGCTTCATGTTGGGAGAAATAGCACTTTACAGACAAAATGAGAAACACATTTTCACTTGCGATTTTCTGTTGCAGTTACTCTACACAAATTATAAATTCTAACTCTGCAATTATGTTATTCTCTCATGAAATATTCATTTTTTAGTATTCATGTTTTACTAAGTAAAATAATTATTTTTCACATAAATGATATATTTAAAAAATTAATAAAACAAATCTGATCAATTTATTCCCGTTTACCTTAAGAATTCTTAATTGTACAATTTTTTGGTATGTAACTAATACTGTCAATGCTTTAATGATCTTAGCAACCAACTTTGCAGTAATGTTTGTTTTCATTTTTAGTGCCTCCCTGAGGAATTTCGTGGATGCGAAGTTGTCGAGCCATTAAAAGCACTACAAAGAAATACCGCAAACTCTGAAGCCAGCCCTGGATGACAGTAATAAAATCATGGTTAATAGCTTTTTCCAGGAACATAAGGGTGCTTCTCTGCATTAATGGTAGAGGTAACCATTATTTTATTCTAGCCAGCCAGTTTGCTGTAATTAAGAGTACTCACAAAAAAAAAATTCAGATGAATTTTTATCCAGACTAAGCAATGGATGTGTTACCCGCATTAACAAAATGCTTTCACGTTTGCATACAGTTAATTTATCATTCATAAAAATGCCTAGCATTGGCTTGGGACAGTGCTGCATGTGTAGCTATTTTCCCCCAAACACAAACTGTGTTAATTTAATAACTGTAGGCATAAGCAGCAGTATCTGATGCCAGACAGGACTCAATTTCCTCCAAAACCCAAAATCAGCCTTTCCCAGGAATTAAAATTTTTAAGATGTATTGATTTCATACTTGCTGTGGAGCACGACACACATTAAATTTACCACTAGATGCATTAACTGTCACCCACAACCAAAGGTGTGTGTGTGTGTGTGTGTGCGGATTAGGTTTATATTACATTGTGGGGAACAAATGTGATAAAAACCTGTTATTTTGATGTTGTGCGGAACATTTTTCAGGCCCCCACAAATATCTTCGAATGCAATCAAAAATCTAAAAACGGCAAAAGACTTGTATTTTGTTTGGTTACTTATGGTTAAGGTTAGGGCTGGGTAGGGGTTAAGGTCGTCATGTTGGGATTAGAGTTTTCCCCATATAATGGAGAGTCCCCACAAAGATATAATTACACACCTGTGTGTGTGTGTGTGTGTGTGTGTATATATATACATATATATCTTGTGGCGGCAGCTCGTAACACATAACACTCACATAAAGAGTTAAGCATCACCACAGCCGTGACTTTCCTATTTCCACCTTAGCGCGTTTTTTCACTCCCTGTCATTGGCAATCATTCATACTGATTTAAAACGCAGCTTAAGGTGCGTAAGAAAATGAGGGCGGCTGTAAGTAATGAGGTGAAAATCCAGAACTTTGCGGGGGGGGGGGGGGACTTTGATAAGTGGGAAAACTTTAAAAGCTACTGAACTCCTAATTTTCAGGCTTTATTTCTAAGATATTAAAATGGAAAGTTAATTTAGAACCATTAAAAGCAGTGCATTTCTGAGGTAACCATGCCTTTTATTTAAGAAGTACGTCTTTGCATATAAAACAAAAGCTCGCTGGGGAATCTGCACTCCTCATCTCTGCAAGCTATTTTAATCAGGATTTATATAATAAAGTGAATTAAGGCTTTTTTTTTACGATCAGCTTTTAGCACAGCAAACATTAACAATCCTGAACAATAAGGCCAGTGTGATATTTAAAAATGTTGATAAGTATAAATCAAAAAATATTTTTCCTTTTAACAAAATTAAACAAAGTGCAATGCTTGAGGATGCAAAAGGTCACCTCTGAAACTAATTTTAAGCAGAAATGTCTTGATAATTGAGCTGAAGTGCATCTTAATACTTTCTATACATGAATCATCTATTGAAAAATTCAGCCAATGACATGATCAAAAGAGCATAGTTCACCTCTACAAGGACACACTGTTCCACTACCGTTTCCCCCTACAGCTTTATGGCGGTAAGGATTCCTGTCAGGGACAATCTGCGCATTACGCCACATTTTCCCCTTCTGTCTGTCTACGACCAAGGGTAAATTACAAGCATTTTGGACGCCTTAATTCATGTTCCACTTTAATACACTTTCATTTTTCACCTATTTGCGGAATGGCACAATTTTCACAGTCAGCAGGATGAAGTTGAAGAACATGAAAATTGAGCCCGGGACTAAAATTGTTCTGTTGCATATCCATCCTGGGACCTAATGTGATACAGGTCTGGGGAAATTGTAAAGGAGAGTGAATGGTGTCTGGGAAGAATTTTGTATGGAAGAGTATGTAAATTTATTTTTGAAACTGACATACTTTAAAAGCAAAAAATTCAATATTATAAGTACAAAAAAGGATTTAATGACTGACAAAAAATTATGTAAAATGATGTTGATTATTTACAGGGAATTGAGAAAGACACTGGTAGAACTGACTAGTGGTGCATTAAAACAACACCTCAGTATGACAGTGCTACAGAGGAGTTTAAATACCTAACCCCTTAAAGTGTTTTTAACACTAAAACTCAGTAGTGGATTGAAAACAATGATTGATTTTCCTTTATATAATAGTTCCTGGCGACAAACCAGGGAGAACACAAAAAATGATCTGACTGTGATATTTGAAAGCACTAAAAAATGGAAAATCATTCATAGTAAAAATACGTACCACCACATTTGAAGAACCTACACTCTTTCCAGTGATAAATTACAAAATAATTTTAACAAGCTAAAGATGACAAAAAAATATACCTCCGAGAGTCATTCCAGCTTCAAAGCACCTCTTCAGCCGGCAGGATGGGCAGTTCTTCCTTCTGAGCTTATCAATGGTACAATCATTTCTGCTGGCACAAAGGTACCTCTGCTTCCCTATTAACACAAGCCAAAGTTCGACAGACAAGAGAACACAGCACTCTGCTTCATCACGTCCTGGAGTACCACTTCACAGGCTGCTGAACAACACGTCGCATCCACAGCTAGACACGCTTTGGCTGAGGCTAGAAATTTACTATAGAGCCTAATAGCACTACTACTACTCCTATGAATAATAATAATAATATTAATAAGAATAATAATAATAATAATAAATAATAATAATGACAACGATAATACTGTACATTGAAAAGCAATGTGAAAAGTACTATAATAATAATACTACTACTGCTACTACTACTTATAATAATAATAATAATAATAATAATAATAATGAGAAGAAGAAGAAGAAGAAGAAGAGGAAGAAGAAGAAGAAGAAAACTAGTAATAAATCTGAGTTAGGTGTCAGAAATGATGGCCTACAGGTAACCAAAGTGATGGCATAGAAAAATGGCGTATGCACTACAGCATAGTGTAAGGCACTCCTCGATAAATCTGGGTAGAACAAAAAAAAGAAAAGAGGAAAAAAAACGCCTTGTGAATTCATGCCCTGTTCTGCTGACTGACCTTCGGCGGCTCTCTTGAAGAAGACTTTGCAGCTGCCGCATGTGAGCGCTCCGTAGTGACAGCCCGAAGCCTCGTCCCCGCAGATCAGACAGGTCCTCTGGGGCGGGATGAAGAACTCCAGGGGGAACACGCTATCTCGGCCGTCCTCGAACCTGCCGGAACACTCAGGGCTAAGCGCGGGCGTGGGGAGGGGGCGGGATTATGCTTCTGAATCACGACTGATGAAGAGCTTTGCTCGCTCAGTCGTTCGGCAAAGTATGAAATCCACAGGTGACACGACCAAAATGTTATCTTCATGGACCATCATATGTAGCTATTCTGTGCAAATAACTGAATAATAAAATCATGGACTCATTTTAAAAGTTTCTAATTAAAAAACAAACATTTCAGCTTTTAATTGCAGTGGAATTAAATATAAATATGATTAATTGATCATAAAATTCGTCAGTGTACAAAACTATAATATTCAGTTCTGAGCAGAATGACTGTAATAAGTGCATCCTCGTTCAAACAACAACGTCGTTAAAGACGAAGAGAGCAATATTGCGCATTATGAAGCTAATTATAATGATTATATAATTACTTCTCGTCACCAGACATCAGCCAGCGCAAACACCTATTAAAAAAGACAAGTGACACATCAATGAAAAAAGACATTCTCCGCATTTTATTTGTAAATGACTAACACTTTAACAGAACACTTAGCCACATTTTAATAACTTATTTTTTTAGTTAATAAATGTCTAAGGGAGAAGGGAAAAATCACATTTAAAGTGTACGAGTAAATTAAACCGCAATACTCGTCACAGTTATGTAATCGGGTTTCACTCCTTCCCTTAAGTCCTTTATGGTGTGACGTACGTCATATATTAGCAGACAGGACAGATATAGTTCAAGGCATATTCACATGACATTGATACCATGGTAATCACCGTAGCGACCGATGAAATAAATACGGGCATTAAAGTAGTGTGTCTGCTAAAGCTATCGAAGTGGAAACTGAATTCAATTTCTAAATAAAAAATAAAGAAGATCATGGTGTCGCAATGTGTTTTGTCACTGTGCAATCATAAAAAATAAATAAAAACACGCTTGTAAGATACAATCACTTGAAGTTAAACTAGCTGTACTAAGCTGATACTTCTTGCTAGTCAAGCTTGTATTCACAGTTTAAAAAAATTGTGACGCTGTGTTACAGAAGTAAATTTGCCATGTTCAAATGCTGAAGATTTATCTTAACTGACAACCACTGAAAGTAACTGATTATTCACAGCGTCACCCAACTTATCTATATCTAGAAGGAGTGCAATGCAACTTATCTAGAACACCATCAGGTTCATTTTTTTAAATGATAAAATGCCAATAATGTATCATATAAGTGAAATGGGGATAGGGCTTTTTTATAATAAGACTCAAAGTATAGCCATTGCCATCCCATTTAAATTCAAGGCATCAACTGAAGATAACAACAGTCACATGGAAGAAGTTGGCTGGCACAATGTCTTCCATGCAAATAATAACCTCCAAGAATGGGTGATATTTTAACCACTGTTGAAATTTAGAGTGAACCTAGTTGACTAGACTGTGGAGACAGGGATGCAAAAGCAGTCCACACCACTGTAATTTCAGATAATAACCACTATTCTGCTCAGTTGACTGGCTGCTCTGTGATTCCTACAAAATGATTCCTGCACGGAGCAGCATAATATTTCGCTCTCAGATCATGGGTTTGGTGGGTGGTTAGACCCAATAAAACCACTTAATAATAACACATTAGGGATGGTCAATATATAGTTATACCACTGATTAAAATACCAATTTCCTCTAGTTCTGGTACCACTTTTATTTAAATTAATTATTTGCATGCATAATTAATTACAGATGGTTAAACTGCATATAATTAATTCTGAATTATGTTTCATATGCTGATGTCTTTTTGCACAATGGTCTTTTTATATTTTTACATTTAGATTTTTATGTATATTATGCAGCCAGTAAAGGCATGCCTAGCTAAATGCGTCATGATCAAATCCTTATTTAATTACCGAAGAAACAAAATATCTTAATTGTCGTCTCCATAGTTACTGGGCGGTTTACCGCTGAGATGATACAGCAGAAAATTAGCATGCCACTTGAATCACGCAAACGCACTGAATGAAGAGGATGCTTTTTATTCTCATTACTTTTCTTGTCGTAGTCAACCTAACAGTTGGATATTCTGTATGCGCTATATGGCAGTTAGCGGCATCAGCAATGATAAAACGTAATAGCGAAATTCTGTGCTGCTGACCAGCTCCCCCTAGAGTCATGGGTCACCTGTAACATAACTGAAACATAACTACCCGATTGGCTGTGTTGAAAAAATATTCAGGCTGTTAAGTCCCAGTCCCTAAGTACTACCCATTTTTTTCAGAGCCTTATTTTTCCCATGAAACACTTGTTCACCCCTTCAGTTCTGCTCAAACTGCTTTTTATGGATCATTTATTAACCCAGATAATAACACGAAGGGCATTGTGTATGGACGATAAAGAATAGCATATGTTCTGGCACCATTCAGCTCTGAGAAGACCAAAACATTTACAGCATGATTTGTAAAGGAAGCTAAATAATAAAATAACAATAACGGCAAATATAATGAGAGCGTCTTTGTCTCTTGGTAGATGGGGCGATAGTCTATGAAAGACAAATGGAGAATTTCATCCAACTGTATTGCTTCCAGCAGTGTTACTTGAGTTTCCTCTGTGATCAGAGAAAAACATTTGCATCTCACTACAATTAACCTGTCATTCCGCCAAGTCGTCTTCTTAAACGGCCCTGAATTGTTTTGTTGTTAGATAACTTCAGGAAAAAAGAAAGAAGGGTGAAAACTCTGTAATGATGTTTGTCCATCTCTAAAATAAGTGTAGCACTTTAAAATTTTAGGTTTGGAGCTTCTATGGCCGTTGAATGACTCTACTGAAGCAACATTCTTATCTCAGACTCCGGTTTGAGTTTGATTTATATCACCTGCCCCTGGCGAGTAGGATTTCTCCCGCAGAGCGACATAACTTCCATCGATCTGCCACGGTTTTATGAGGTTTACGGCAACTCTGTGGCTGCCTCATAAGCTCCTCCCACAAAGCTGTCTGGTTCCTGCCAGTTACTGTTTGCCAGCAGTAAGAGATGAGTCTGCCTGATATTTGGCACAGGGTCTCCTATGTGGTGCCATGCAACGCTTAGCATGAAAGGAAATGATCTGCCTTCAAGAAATCTGCGGGCAATGATGGGACCAAGCTGCTAGACAAGAGTGCAACATTATTTGGAAAATATATATATTTTAATTTTGTTTGTGTGTGTGTGTCTGTATATATATATATTTATATATATTCTATTTTTAAATTCTTAACACACTATTATGAATAAAAGTGCAACATTATTTGAAAACATATATATATATATATATATATATATATATATAAATTATTTTAAAATAATTAACATGGGCTTATATCCCGCTAGTTTTAACTTATTACAGGTAAGCCAGGTACAACAGAAGCACATTCTTTTCATGAGATAAAAATCAACTACAGCACTTATTTCACTTGTATTAAGTAAATAACCTACTTAACACTTGTGTGAAGTAAAATAACCTACTTAACACTTGTGAAAGTAAAATAACCTACTTAACACTTGTGTGAAGTAAAATAACCTACTTAACACTTGTGTGAAGTAAAATAACCTTCATCAATGTTTACGTCCTTGAACTTTAAATAGAAGACCCTTCAGACAAACTGTAAATTAAGTCTTCGTATCTTCGTGATTAGTCAATAACATTTATTTCCACCATAACCTTAATGGCTCTTTATGCCCCCTGTTACTCACACACCGAAGAATCAATAAAGTGAAACTCACCTTCTGAACACAACGCTACATGACATCCATAAGTCAACCCCCCCCCCCCCCCCCACCCTGTTCTAGTTGATGGTCGCCTTATAATCTGCATACGCTGCACAAAATGGCGTGTGCCAGCTGTGAAGGCTTCTCCCACCCGGTACCGTTAAAGCGCCTTGCACCCCACTGCAGAAACGAAATGCCAAAGCGTTTAAAAAAAAAAATTAAAAATGGAAGTCACACTGTTTACTGTCATCGTCAAAGGAAAAAAAAAAAAACGTCAGGGATACCGATGCCAAGAAAGAGCGTCACACAAGGGGGCACCTTTGTGGGGGGAGAGCTGAAACATGACTTCTCAGGCTATAGTTTACCAAGGTACATTATGAACCTCTTTAATTCCACAACTCTAACTAACTAACTGCCATGACTTTGTTCCCCAATTTAGAGTCAGCCTTCCCTAAAATGAGTAATTTGCCTCTTGTAGAATTTATAGATAGAATATACAGGATGTTAAGCTGGTAAGAACACTCACATGTCGTCGGTAGAGCTATCAATGTTCTTTCTGCTATGTAACTTTAGCAACTTAGCAACTTCAGCACAAAAAGAAACAAACAAAAAAAAAAAACACCAAAACTATTACATGGCTGACACATATTACATGTGCAAATGGTAAATGCATAAAAAATAACATCAGGGTAAAGGGTATTTAATAAGCGATCTATGTCTGTTTTAATGACGCAGTATAGCTTATGATGCCTTGTAAAACACTCGCTCACTTTTAATGACCCACACAGAAAACATGCATAATGGCGAGCCGGAAAGACATGTGTGTCATAAATAGAAATGTTGTTGACTAAGGTACTACACTTGGAATTAACAGCTGGGTGTCGCTGAATCCACCATCTTAAGAGACGCTAAAATCCATCGAAAATGATGGCGGGAAACTTCTCTAATATCCAGGGCAGGAATCGGGCTGTACAGATGTGCAGATTTTAACTGAATATTGTGAAATATCTGTTTATATTTTATGTGATACTATCTCATGTAATTCACATTACTTGTTCAGTCTCAGAAGTAGCTTAAGATTTTGTTACGCACACACACACACAGAAAAATCATCTTTACCAACAACAACTAATTTCAAATGCACATCAAATTCTGGTGTACAATGCCTATTATTATTATTAGTCATTGTTATTGACAATAATAATAATAATAATAATAATAATAATAATATGGGCGTAACAACGTGCAGTGTTGCTTCTCTGAAACAACCCAAAC